CAAAGACATATAAACAATACAAATGTGATCACAAAGCACCAAATGCAATTATATGTATTGAATGCATTTGGTCTTTGGCCAAACTTCAAATGCAATTATCAGATACAGTGCTGCTGCATTTCAGCTCATAAGCACTAGATGAAATCAGAAAAGATTCTGATACTGCAAAAATAATCAGCAACCACAAGTAGTCATAAGCAAGTATCAAAGGCTAGTAAAAACTAGAGTAAAAACTATCATTAAGGAAGAGGCTGCGTTCTGCTCTGCTCCAACACAAGTGAGAGTGAATGAATGAATGTATGAATGGATGTGAGTGTTAGTGTATATGCATGTGCACACATGCACGTATGTACTTACTGAATTGTACTCGCCAAGGCTCAGCTCCTAGTCCTGCCTCCTAGACTACTTAAAGTGAACATTGATTGCTGGCTTCTAGGGCCTTATCACATCTACTCTTGAAGCTGTGTATTGAGTTTGCCTCCACTACCTCATCTGTGTCATTCCACTTTTCAACCGCCTTGAGACTAATGAAATATACTTCCTTATATCCCTATACCTCCCTCTCCTTAGATCAAACTTGATTGTATCCCATTCCCTCAAGTGCTGTATGAACCCGATGGGTAAAACGCTTCCTTCTAAATATAATTATACCCCTATCACCCTTCCTTGGTGGAAGACAGCTGGTGTTTGCGAAAAAAAAGAATCCCTATTTTTCGTCCGTATCTTTAGCTAACACGTGCCCCCTAAAGCAGGTTCCTGGTCGAAAAGTCTAGCCTTATCTACTCTATCAATTCCTCTCAAGATTTTGCATGTTATAATCATGTCTCCTCTTGCCTTTCATACTGCCAAGGACATTAGGTTCAGTTCCTTCAAATTTTCCTCGTGTTGCATTCCTGTACTAATCTGGTTGGAAACATTTGGATTTTCTAAAGTTTCTGCATGTGCTTGAGCAGGTGTGGACTCCATGACTGAGCAGCACACTTGTGTCATATTTAAAGTTGTAAAGAATTCTTTGGTTAATTCCTGAATGGTGTTCTGAAGTTTTCCAATCTTACATATGCCAATGGGAAGCTGGAATGTTTACATCCCATCACTCTCCCTCACATCCTTGTAGTGATAAGACAAGAGAATTGCCTAATGCATATTGGGGAGGTCTGAGGACTGCCTGCTGCTGCACTTGACAAAAGTGTGTGCCACCAATTGAAATTAATTCTATTTCCATGCCCCTAATGGAAATGGGTGCTCTTCTATTGGAAATGAAAACCTAAATATCAATTGCATATTGAAAATGCGAGTTGTGATCGCATGAAGCTAAATTGTCAAAATCAAAATAATGCTTACCAATAATTTCCGTATTTAATGATGACAATTTGCCTGTGACCTTAGTATTACACATGTTTACATGCTATACCTAAATTTTACAAGAGGATAAGAACTACACTCATTAACGAGTACCATTTTTTTATTTGATATGTAATGTTTTGATTAAATTTTTCCCTCTAGATTTTCATAGTTTTCCTACAATTTTGTGGTTATCCTATATCAGATTTCATGTTATCCAGTATGCCTCTCAATAGTTTTTTAAGTCTACCAAGATTTTTTTTTTAATTTAGGAGGCCTGGTCCAAGACCAGACCATAAGGGCAATGATCCCAGAAACCATTAACAAATATACACTCCAAGCCGGAATAATGGTGCTCAACTCTATTTGGAAACACTGTGCAAAAAAAAAAAAAAAAATGTTAAATTATCATTCCAACTGGAATGAAATTTTACATTTAAAAACAAATAGCACTGACAGACCTATGAAATTTTCACTGAAATACCGTAGGTCAGTAATTTAAAACATATAAACAGCCATGAATGCCCTCCTTAACAACACAAAAATTAAGTAGCTAGGTATAAGTGTCTAGCTGGTGCAAACACAGGAGATTCCCCACTTACAAATGAATTGTTTAACATCTTTGTGGACATAGTGTCTGGGGAATGGGAGGTAATCAGGCTAGATTCAAGGAAGTTGAGGGTTGTCTAATTCTCTGGATTCAAAGCTCTGCACTGGTATCAAGGTCCCTTGAAGGGGGTTATACATAGGTGCCCCTCGACTTACGATGGGGTCACATTCCAATGAACCCATCATAAGTTGAAAATATCATAAGTCGAATATGATAAATAAATAAATAACTACTGTCGCTGAATAAGTAAATAAACAAATAATTAGCACAGTTAACTAAATACCAAAATTGAAAAGTACATAAATGAATACAAAACCAAAATTCAAAGTCCGATAACTACTGAATGTGCATCATTATCACAATTGTAAGTTGAAAAATCTTAAGTCGAACCATTGTAAAGCGAGGAGCATCTGAAAATATGTTTGTATAGAAAATGACAGAATAAAGGATGTTTATTTTTTACATGTTTGTACTGTGGCTTAGTAGCTGTGAAACTGAATCCTAAGCGCCTGGTTTGCAAGACAAGTTTTGTGTGCAATTTTACATGTTTAACCCTTAAACGGTCCAAATAGATCGATGTTCAAATCCGTAGTGCTCCAAAAGTAGATCTATGTTTTTTTTTTACACATTTTCAAATATAAAAAAAAAAATGTAGATAAGTTTTTTTTTACACATTTTCAAATATATAAAAAAAAAAAGATGATGTACATTTTTTTACATACTCTCAAATGTTGAAAAACCGTATATATATACGTTTGGACCGTTTAAGGGTTAAGTGTGGATGTGTGCAAACTGGAGGATGTAAGTGTTTATGTCTTCAACTTGGGGATGTTTGCAAGTGTGGATGTATGCAATGGGGTGTTTATAAGTGTGGATATGTCCAATTTAGGAAATCTTTTAAATGCAGAGATATGCAACTTAGGGAAGTTTTTAAATGTGGAAATGTGCAAACTTGGAGACCTCCTGTATATACAATACCATCTTCATAATCTCTTTGGTAAGTAGGCTTCTTGTGTTCTGTAGCTGTTATCCAAACACTACAAAATTATACATTAAAATTAACAATGAGCTACATCATCGACTTCTTATACAGCCCAAAAGAAGCAATCACATTGTGACAAATTAAAAGTACCTTTACATAGAAGTGTACACTAATTCATGACATATGTAGATGTAATCATTGTACACTATTATACAATACAAAACCAATTACAGTAAGCTCTCTTATAAAGCTTCTCTAAATGTGATATTTTTGCAAATAGGATTGAAAAGGTGCATCAAAAATTGAAGCGTTTACCATGAAGGCCTTTGCATGTTCTATTCAATTCTGGATGTATCATTTTATTCTGCATGTACCATTCAATTCTGGATGTATCATTTTATTCTGCATGTACCATTCAATTCTGGATGTATCATTTTATTCTGCATGTACCATTCAATTCTGGATGTATCATTTTATTCTGCATGTACCATTCAATTCTGGATGCACTGTTACAATCACATTTACAAGAGTTTACAACATCAGATTTCTGGAACAATTTTTATAAAACTAACGTACATATTTAAAAAAAATTGATGAGTATTAATTTAAAGTAAATCTTTAATCATCATGAAGAGAAAGACAATGCTCATACTTTACCGGTAACTCAAATTCTCTTTCTTAGTTTCATTAAAGATACATTTTTTATATACAGCTTCTCCTCACTTAATGACAGAGTTCCGTTCCTAAGACCACGTTGGTAAGCGAATTCATCACTAAGTGAGGAGCATACTATAATGGTAGTGGGTCTGTGTCAACCATCTTTGATCTTGTTTTAATGTCACCTTCGCACCATTTATAACATGTCTGGTATATTTTTAAATGTTGATACAGTAGTGTACTGTATATTGTAATCAACAGAATAGAGGAAATCAGCTCTTAATATACATTATTTAGGTATGCATATTGTTCAAAGAGCCCGTCTTAAGTCTAAGCCGTCGGTAAATGAGTATGTCGCTAAGTGAAGAAGGCTGTATTTAATAAAGTTCTTTATCATATTTTAAAAATAATAATTGTACAGCCTCTCCTCACCTAGCGACATACTCATTTACCGACGTCTTGGCTCTCCAACCAGTATGCACACCTAAATAATGTATATTAAGAGCTGATTTCCTCTATTGTGTTTATTACAATATACAGTAAACTACTGTATAAACATTTAAAAATACACCAGAAATGTTATAAATGGTGCAAAGGTGACATTAAAACAATATCAAAGATGGTCGACACAAACCCACTACCATTATAGTATGCTCCTTGCACAGCGACGAATTCATTTACTGATGTGGTCTTAGGAACGGAACTCTGTTGTTAAGTGAGGAGAGGCTGTATGAATATTGATATCGTAGGAAATGAGATATGGACTGTAGTTTTATCAGCAATTTTCCCGCTGATTTTGCTCATATAACACTTGAAAAAATCCTCATTACAATTATTATGATTATTATAATCATAACTAAGAGTTAAATCCTCATTGACAAGATTTGATTGACCATGCTGTATTTGAAGAAATGCAGTATGTTCAGTGATTTGAAAGCACAAGATGATTCAATTCAGGCATACCTCACTCAATGTTCTAAAATTTTGTCTGCACTTATGTAGCACAAATACTTTATAATAAAAAAAGTGCTAAACCCATTAGGGTGATACAGAGCTGAACACAAATACAACAAAATCATGCTGATGAGATCTGCACCAAAATGTTGCCAGATTTTAACTATCTTTGTGTAAGCTTAACACATTTTCCAATTTTTTTTTAAGTCTGCTTGGCCGCACAAGGCTTTACTGTCTCTTCAATAAGAAAATACAACATACACATTCAGTAGAGCCCTGATTTATGGTGTTCCAACTTATGACACTGGTGCTTTGCAATCAATTAATTAGTTATTAACACACTTCTGCAGTAACAATCATTGTAAATATTCAAACATTTTAAATAATCTTTTACAGTATTTTACCAAATTAATTTATTTTAATATTATAATCGTTAATTATTATTACTATCAAATCAAGACTATATAGAGAGCACACATTTTAGTAGACTGGTTAAAAAAAAATTGTCGATTTAATATTTAAAATTTTCATAACTTTTTTTTTTTTAGGGGGGTTAGATTCTTTACCAAATGCACTAATATTTAGTATGTTCAATTTTTTTTTGACAAGAGATGCAATAAGAATGACAATTAAATTACTGCACATTCTGTGGTAGCTGTCTGGTACTTCAGCTAATGATGTGTGGAAGAGCAGCAGTTCCACTTTACTGCCCTCACTACATGTTCAGGTACATTGACCCTCACCATAACAATGAGGGAGAGAGAAGCATATGTAAAGAGCTAAGTTAGAGAGAGGGTAAAAGTGAGAAAGAGGGAGGCAGCCCAGTTGCTGCCTGCCCACATACACATCAACCCCATTCCTCCCAAAGCACTCAGCCATAGCAGTGAGGATATGGAGAGTATATGTGAGAGATATAATGCAAAAGAGAGGAAGTGAATAGGAGATTGAGAATGAGAGGGAGGTAGTCCAGCTGTGGCCCACCTCTACACATCTGTACTTCACCATACAGTATGCCGTATTGTAGCTCGATTCTGTTTAATTAATTAAACAATGCTTAATACTATTACGATTTACAAGTGAAAAGGAGCAGTACTGAATGTAAAATAACTGATAAAAAAATTTGGAAAAAATTAACTGATATTAGTTAATCAATAATACGGCCCTGGAACGCATCTTCAATTGTAACATTTGTTTTTGTGGAAAAATAAGTTACGAGAACCAAACAGTCAATTTCCAATGAATTTTCTAGAAAGCATTAACATCATAAGTTGGAGCCCATTGTACACCAGCCACACTAAGCTAGCTGCTGTGCATATCAGCTTCTCCAATTACTTCCATCAAAACAGAATGCTGTACATCTTAGCAGGAGATGAGAGGGAAATGTGTGATACAGGGCTCTGGTGAACAAAAATATAATCATACTAGCACTTAACCTAGAAGAACAGCTCTGATGAACAGTACTAAGTTATTATAATTATATTTGTGGGAAGCGGTAAACTCAGGAGTCACACTGCACCTAGGAAATGGGAGGTATTAAGATTTAATACAAAAGAAGGGTACAGGAGAGCTCCGCTTTACAGCACTTTGCCTTATGGGGTTTCAGAATACCCATTTTTCATTTATTCAGACTTTGTACAATAAATATATTCACCACTCACTATAAGCTAAGAATGAAAATATTTTAAATGTGTGTACTGTATATGAATTTTTTAGGCCTAGCTCTATTGCTCATTTAATATATGATACTGTAAATATATCAGGCTTTTATATGCTTTAAAAGGAAAAAAAGGTTATGTTTCACTTTACAGCAGCAGCTGCCTGGAACCTAACCTGCTGTATAAGAGGGGTCCTCCTGTAATTCCAATTTGCCAGATTAAGAGTACCTCACCAGTGACAAGAAATTCCCCATGAAGGGCAAAAGGTGCATTTTCAGTATTTCATGAACACAATACAACACTTGATGCTGTGTAGTCACCCACTTTAATTATTTCTGCTCAATGACAGCTCCAGCAAGCACAAATATTCAAGAAGGTGGAGACATTTGCGAGAGGAGACTGCTTACACCCAAACAATCCCTACTCGGTTTCCTTTGTTCATTATTAAGAAATTATCAGTGGGGCCGAATAACAAATTTAAAGGTGGTATTGGTCAGATTATATCCCCATGAGTTCAGTGTATCGGGTGAGTGGGCAGTGTACACTGAGGTATGCCTATATGTACATCCTCTGATTAAACTCAATCCTCAGATGTTTAGAGTATAATTAAAATTACTGCTATAAATGAAATGCAGCTATCAAATATAGCTTCGTTATCATTAAACTTGCTAGTAAAAAAGTAAAAAATATGATTGCAATAACTAACAACAGGTAAAGATGGATAGCTAATAATGCACAAACAATAGTTTTACAGTGTAGATCTTTTAACAATTGTATTCAAAACAACTATTTTTTATGAGCAGATAAAACTTTTTCTTTTCTAGAGTATTAGTTAATATTCTTATCATTTAACTTAAGAATCATTATCAAATTAATAAATTATATTCAACAAAGTTAGGACTTAGGAGAGGGAAAATTAGGGGACATTTTGGTCCATCCTGTACCACCGTAAAGTCACGATGAACCAGGATGGCCTAAAATACCATCATGAGGAGCCTCTCATAAGTGTGGGTTTTTGGTCAATTGTTCTGGCCACTGTATGACTTTATCCTTTAAAAATTATGTTGTTTTCCATAAAAACATTTTTGAACTACATCAGAAATATATTTTAGTTTAAAAATATTTTAAAGTCTATACATCCAACTCATTTCATACTTACTATGAAACTTAAGCCAATTATCAACATATTTACCAATGCACAAAATTAAGTTAACACTATGATCAATTAACTAAAATAATTTACACCACTGTCAGTAAGATTAAACGATATATAAATCACAATAAAAAATCTGACATTATTACTGACCATTAGCATGTAAAGTTTTTAAAATTTTAACAAGAAAATAGGAAGACTTAATATATGGTTCATGGTACAGAACACCTCCAACTATGACAGTATTAATATGCAAATTTTAGTTACATTTATTTCACAGGGTTATTAATAGGGACATGTGCTTGGAAAAAAAAATAATAAGCAAATCTTGAAATAACAAAGAAAGGCACAATACCGTGACTGGAACGATACACAAATAACCCGCACATAAAAGAGAGAAGCTTACGGCGACGTTTCGGTCCAAGTCGGACCGAAACGTCGTCGTAAGCTTCTCTCTTTTATGTACAGGTTATTTGTGTAAAGCAAATCTTGTTCTGTACTACTATTTCACCCATTTTTGAGAGAAAGCAAAATTCGTAATTTTCGAAGCCTGGAAGATCATGGTAGCCATGGTTACGGATGAAACCTCTTCACATTATGCAAAGAAATAACTATGACTTCAAAAATTGAATTCCAAATACAGTAAGAACTATGTAGTCTATGCAGATTACACATCTGAAAAAGGGGGGCAAATATAACTGTAAAATATATACTTGGGGTCTATACAGTTAAACCCACATAAACTTAATTCCAAACAAAGAGAGGAACTTAGAAGTGACTACACATTTGTGACTGCAAATTAGATAACAATAACAATCAGAGGGATATAATTATTGTCTCCATAATAATGCAGTCTCTAAATGCTTATACCTAAATATTTGAAAACTGAGATCATATTACCAAACACCAAAATCAAATCCCATAAATAAGTTTGAACAACAAATCTACTCCTTGAAATGTGACTGCAAAGGAATTTGTTCAAGCTATCTATGAAGCACATACAGTATAAAATATTCAGTAAATGGACACAGATACAATGAATGCTACAATTTCTTATGGCAATGTTTCCGGAGTGAATACTGATGAAAGTGTTTCTTTTTTGGGTCACCCTGCCTTGGTGGGAAACAGCTGATGTGTTAATAAAAAATAATAACGTGTCTCTAGGTAGTAGATTGGTAGACAGCAACCGCCCAGGGAGGTACTACTGTCCTGTCAAGCGAGTGTAAAATGAAAGCCTGTAATTGTTTTACATGATGGTAGGATTGCTGGTGTCCTCTTTTCTGTCTCATAAACATGAAAGATTTCAGGTACATCTTGCTACTTCTACTTGCACTTAGGTCACACTACACATACATGTACAAGCATATATATACACACCCCTCTGGGTTTTCTGCTATTTTCTTTCTAGTTCTTGTTCTTGTTTATTTCCTCTTATCTCCATGGGGAGGTGGAACAGAATTCTTCCTCCGTAAGCCATGCGTGTTGTAAGAGGTGACTAAAATGCCGGGAGCAAGGGGCTAGTAACCCCTTCTCCTGTATAAATTACTAAATTTGAAAAGAGAAACTTTTGTTTTTCTTTTTGGGCAACCCTGCCTCAGTGGGATACGGCTGGTTTGTTGGAAAAAAAAAAAAAAAATGTCTCCCGTAGCGTTATTGTGGCAATGTTTTGCTCCTGGAACCCTTGTCGGTTTAGCACTTTATCTAATTACAATAATAATTTGCTCCTGGAGAACAAAAACATTGCCACAATAAATTGTCGCATTAGTTGCACCCGTGTCCATTTACCCAACATTTTTGACGGTAATTCTACCATTATTACCAGTATAAAATATCCTACATTTACATACAAAAAATACACTTCTCTGCCACAGAGAGGAAGAACTCACTGTTTATATCTGTCAAGTGTAGCTATGAATTTTAGTAATCTCTGAGCAACCATGACTTTCATCAACAACAATAAAAAAAATATTATACTCTTTCATAAAGTTGTACATTTTTAATAACAAAATCAATGACTTAATGTACCAATTAGAATTAAAGCCTTTTTTTCACAGGATAAATGGTTTGTCACACAATAACACCCTACCACTTTCACTACGTGTTTATTTAAGTGTACCATTGGTTAAGCTGTCTGACAGGTGACCCTTAAGAGTGTTGTATATTTGGTAAAGATGTTTCCAATGTTGAGAATTAGGAGGGGAGCGTTTTAATAGTGATTCTGATTCATTCAACGTTAAAGTCGCTGGTTCTGTGAGCCAAGCACAGAAGCAGTCTTTCCAGGGCTTGAGACTGCTTAAGGACACGTCTATCCTCAAAGGAGTGTCCAACTGCAATGAAGCAACTGGACAGCTGGAATCAAATGGCAGAGTTCCTGAACTTTCAAATAGGAATTTAATTCGATGCCAAGTGTGATATGCACTAGAGAGTGGATCTCTGATCCTCCTAAGGGCACCAGTCGCTGATAAAGACTCGAGTAAACTTTGAATGTAATGCACATTAAGGAAAGCTTCTCGGGAATGTTTTTTCCCCAAACAGTTTTCTGATGTTCCATTTTGTTCACTTACTAAAAGACTCTGACTCTCTGCCCACCAAGACCAAACGGGACGTAGATAAATAGGCTGATGCGGATTTTCTCGTTGCAACACCTGTAAATTAAAATAATATGACAGGCTTTCATTAAACTGTATAGCCAGGTCTCAGTGCAAAATTAATGCTAGTTCCCCCTAAACTCTTCAAATTATGTGAAAAAATTCATATACGACCACTGTATTGGGATTCATTATTTGCACTAACCGAGAACAAGCCATATTATATGAAGAGTGGAATACAGTACCTAATAGTTTCATTTCAAAATAATGGCTGTAAACTCCTCTTCATCCATGCAAAGGTGATGGGAGCTGAGAATGGTGGAGGAGTAAGGAAGATAGGGAGGTGAGGATAACAAAGTGAGGATGGTGAGAAGTGTAGATGCAAGGAAGTGGCAAAAGGGGTTGAGCAACAATCAACTGGACAACAGAGATTAGGGACTATTTATGCAACAGAAATTAAACTATAGACAGGCTCTATTTAGTCCTGGTTTTCCTGTGTGATGGTGTGATATTGGATACTAACAGCTTCTGTGTACCTGCTCCTGGAAGAGTCATGCATGAAAAACTCACTATCAAGGGACATTTATTATTTTGAAATTTACATACATTTATTTTAACGCACCAGCCATCTCCCACCAAGGCAGGATGACCCGAAAAAGAAAACTTTCACTATCATTCACTTTATCACTGTCTTGCCAGAGGCATGCCAATACTGCAATTCAGGTGCCCCCCCCCCTCCAAACTGCAAATATCATCACCCTCGTGCAGAGTGCAGGCACTGTACTTCCCACTTCTAGGACTCAAGTCGAGCTAACTGGTTTGCCTGAATCCTCTCACAAAATATTACCTTCCTCACACTCCAACAGCACATAGTCATAAAAACCACTTGCCCCCACTCACTACTATCTAACATGCTCACATACACCCACTGGATGTCCAAGCCTCTAGCACACAAAACCTCTTTTACCCCCTCCCTCCAACCTTCCCTAGGGCAAACTCTACCTTGTCTTCCCTTCACTACACATTTATACACTCTCCAAGTCATCCTATTGCACTCCATCCCCTCAATATTCAAACCACCTCAACAAGCCCTCCTCAGCCCTTTGAATATTATATTTAGTAACCCTGCACCTCCTTATCTCCAAGCTACAAATTCTCTGCATAATATTTACACTACACACTGCCCTCAGACATGACATCTTCACTGCCTCCAGCTTCCACACTGCAATGTTCACAACTCATGCTTCACACCCATATAAGTGTTAGTACCAATAACTGATACAATTCCATTTTTACCTCCATGGATAATGTTGTCTCCATAGATGCCTCAATGCACCTACCTTTTTCCCCTCATCAATTCTATGGTTTACCTTGTCTTTCATATACCCATGCACCAACAAGTCCACTCCCAAATATCCGAACACATTCACTTCCTCCATGTTCCCTCTTCCAAGTTGATATCTAATCTTCCATTACATAAATCATTTATCCTCATTATCTTGCTCTTTCTATGTTCACTTTTAATTTCCTTCTTTTACACACCCTTCCAAATTCGTCCACAAGCCTTTACAACTTCTCTTCAGAATACAATGGTACCTCGAGTTTCGAACAGCTCCCAACTCAAACAATTATGTAAGTGTATTTTTGTAAGTGCTTTTGTAAGTGTATTTTTAGGGGCTCTGAAACGGACTAATCTAATTTACATTATTCCTTATGGGAAGAAACTTGTTCAGTATCAGCACTTGAACAGCCTTCTGGAACGAATTAAGTTCGTAACTCGAGGTACCACTGTATTCCATAAGCAGTATCATCAGCATACAACAACTGTGACAACTATTATTTTGTATTAGATTCTGCATTGTTTTAGTCTCAAACCTCTTCTCAACACCCTAGCATTCAATTCTCTTACAACCTCATCTATAAGTATGTTAAACCATGGTGACATCATGCATCCCTGTCAGAGACTTACTTTTACTGGAAAATAATCTCCCTCTCTCCTACATATCCTAACCTGAGCCTCACTATCCTCATAAAAATTCTTAACTGCTTTCAGTAACCTACACTTATTCTATACACATGCAACATCTGCCACAATGCTTCCCTATCCACCCTATCATATGCTTTTTCTAAAACCATGAATGGAACAAAAAACCTCCTTACCTTTATCTAAATATTGCTCACTTAAATGATTCAATGTCAACATTTGGTCTACACATCCCCCTACTCTTCCTATAGCCTCTTTATTCATTTGCAATCCTGTCCTGTCTAAACCTTAATTCTTTCAATATTAATTCTATCATACACTTTACCTGGTATATTCAACAGGCCTATTCCCCTATAATTTTTACACTCTGTTGTCAACCTCTCCTTTATACAAAGGAACTATGCACACTCTCTGTAAATCTCTAAGTAACTTATCCTCTTTGAAACAATGAATAATAGTACCAACCCCTTCAGAGCTATCTCCGTACAAAAAAAAAAAAAAAAATACTATGGTAGGAACAATTCGCAAAGAATCTAAACTACAGAAAACATTTCAGTCCATCCTGGACAATTATCAAGCAATGGTCCAGGATGAATCACAAGTTGTTCAAAGTTTCCAAAATGCTGGTTACTTCTGCGAGCAAATTAACCTGATCAACTTACAGCAGTGGCAGTGTATTTAGCACTGATAGAATTGAACATGAAACTGGAGTGGAGTGAGCAAAAAGCGGCATGCCAGAGAGCCACAAGATACTCCGATGTAAACTCCAGGGAAGCATGGTGCTGCAGGCTCACTTGGTACACACAATCCAGAAATAACAACCACAATGGACTCTGTCAAAAAAAAAAAAAAAAAAAAAATCATTAAACAGCAATTTTATTTTCTCATATATAAATCAACAACTTAAACATGCAGCATTACTGAAAATAAAAGGCATTAATTATACAAGAATGAAGAGTGGTACTGCAATTATGCAAGAAGGAAAAGAGAGTAGTACTGTAATTATGCAAGAATGAAAAAGAGCAGTACTGTAACAGTGCAAGAATGTAAAAGAGAAATAATGTAATTATGCAAGAGCTGTATAGCCCTTGTGGCTTAGCGCTTCTTTTTGATTATAATAATAATTATGCAAGAATCAAAAGGAGCAGTACTGTAATAGTGCAAGAATGTAAAAGAGAAATACAGTAATTATGCAAGAATGAAAAAGAACAGTACTGTAATTATGCAAGAATGAAAAAGAACAGTACTGTAATTATGCAAGAATGAAAAAGAACAGTACTGTAATTATGCAAGAAAAAATAGGTATAATTATTTCTTTCAACACATTTTGCTATCTCCCACTAGGGTAGGGTGACCCAGAAAGGAAAACAACATTCACCATCACTTATGCCCCTGCTCCTTGTGGGTTTAGCACTTAGTTTTGATTATAATAATAATTCCCTTGCTATCTTGCCAGAAATATACAGATATCACACTTCAAATCACCCTCCCAACCATAACATAAACCTTCAGAGTGCAAGCGCTGTACTTCCCACCTCCAGGGCATCAAGTCCAGCTAACTGGTTTCCTTAAATCCTTTCATAAGTGTTATCTTGCTCACTCTAACAGCACGTTCAGCCATAAATACCCCTCGTCTCCATTCACTCTGATCGAATACACACACACACACACATCTGCTAGATGAGCAAAAATAAAATTAAAGAACAGAAATTATGCATGAACAAAAATTTAATATAGCCATACAGTTTTTACCACACTAGCTATTTCCCACCAGCAAAAGGTAACCCAAAGAAGGAAACATATTCACCATCACTCATTCCCTTGCTGTCTGGCCAGAAGTTTGTAGCAATTACAATTCCAGTAACCTTCTGAATTACAGCATTCCTACTCATAGATCATTTTCAAATTAATAGTTTTTTTCAACATGATACAAAGTTTATACAGAAATAGGTGACACGTCCTAGGTAGTAGGTTGGTAGACAGCAACTGCCCAGGAAGGTACTACCGTCCTGTGGTAGTAGGTTGGTAGACAGCAACTGCCCAGGAAGGTACTACCGTCCTGTGGTAGTAGGTTGGTAGACAACAACCACCCAGGAAGGTACTACCATCCTGTGGTAGTAGGTTGGTAGACAGCAACCACCCAGGGAGGTACTACCATCCTGTGGTAGTAGGTTGGTAGACAGCAACCACCCAGGGAGGTACTACCATCCTGTGGTAGTAGGTTGGTAGACAACAACCACCCAGGGAGGTACTACCGTCCTGTGGTAGTAGGTTGGTAGACAGCAACTGCCCAGGAAGGTACTACCGTCCTGCCAAGTGAATGTGAAACAGAAGCCTGTAATTGTTTTACGTGATGGTAGGATTGCTGGTGTCTTTTTTCTGTCTCACAAACATGCAAGATTTCAGGTATGTCTTGCTACTTATACTTAAACTTAGGTAACACTGCACATGCATAGACAAGCATATATACACATGCCCCTCTGGGTTTTCTTCTATTTTCTTACTAGTTCTTGTTCTTGTTTATTTCCTCTTATCTCCATGGGGAAGTGGAACAGAATTCTTCCTCCGTGAGCCATGCACATTTTAAGAGGCAACTAAAATGCCAGGAGCAAGGGGCTAGTAACCCCTTCTCCTGTATATATATTACTAAATTTAAAAGGACAAACTTTTGTTTCTCCTTATGGGCCACCCTGCCTTGGTGGGATACAGCCAGTTTGTTGATAGAAGAAGAAGGTGACACATGATAATATATGTAGAAAGTCCCTGGGTTATTATTTAGCATTACATGTGTCAGTTTAAGGGCATTAATTGTATACAAATAAGACTGAATCAACGAGTAAAGGCAGGCCACGCTTTACGGCATTTCACTAATGCGGCAGTTTTCAATTATACCCATTCTTCATTTATTCAGACTTGCTGCAAGAAATATATTCACTACTCACTATAAGCAAAGGACAAAAATATTTTAAGGTAAGTAATGTGTGTACTGTATATGCATGTTTTAGGCTTTGCTCTATTCCTCACTTAATATATGATAGTGTAAACATGTTATCAAACTTTTATATGCATTGCAAAGTGAAAAAAGAGTTATGTTTCACTTTACAGTGACTTTCGCTTTACAACAGTAGCCCAGAACCTAACCTGCTATATGAGCATGGCCTTCCTGTACACAATAAATATATATGTAAGTAGATTAAATACAGTGGACCCCCGCATAACGATTACCTCCGAATGTGACCAATTATGTAAGTGTATTTATGTAAGTGCGTTTGTATGTGTATGTTTGGGGGTCTGAAATGGACTAATCTACTTCACAATATTTCTTATGGGAACAAATTCGGTCAGTACTGGCACCTGAACATACTTCTGGAGTGAAAAAATATCGTTAACCGGGGGTCCACTGTATATCATTATGTGTGATCTATACTATACAGTATTTGCAAGTTTAAGTACCTTCCAAAGAATCCACATTATGGGAGTCCCTACACTCATCTATAGTTTGCTTCTCTAATTACAAGTCACTGTGTTATTACATCGTCATGACTGATTTTCACTTGTACAAAGTGCTAATGACCTAACTTGTATAGTCTTGTTTTCTTAACTTGCATTGCTAACAAAATTATTTACCCAAGAAAATTTTTATTATCAATACTGCTCTCCTCACAGAAATCCTGTGGACCTTCCAGAGCAGCTACTCATCTCCTTCACATTATTATTATACTCACAAGAAGTGATTAAACACAAAGCTTGTACAGTGTCCTCATCTTGCTTGCAGAGCAAAATATTTCATAACTAACTCATATAATAAAGCTGCTTTTGCACTGAAATGGCAAATCATTAGCACAGCACTAAATTTATTCATCAATTGGATTTTTTTTTTAACAAGTCGGCCATCTCCCACCGAGGCAGGGTGACCCAAAAAAGAAAGAAAATCCTTTCACCATCATTCAACACTTTCACCTCACTCACACATAATCACTGTTTTTGCAGAGGCGCTCAGAACACAACAGTTTAAAAGCATATACGTATAGATACACAACATATCCCTCCAAACTGCTAATATCCCAATAATAACCCAATTGGATTCTATACTTCAATTTGCTTTCCCATTCTTTCCCACAAAATGTCTACATTTCTCAAAATCATACCCTAGCCAATATTTTCTCTGATATTTAAAGCTCCTGCACTCTGAAAGAGTGGAGATACATTGCAGTTTTTGAACTGCGATATTGACACGCCTCTGGCAAGTGATGGAGTGATGATGAAAGTGTTTCTTCTTTTCCAGGTCACCCTGCCTCAGTAGGAAGTGGCCAATGCGTTAAAAAAATGATTATCTAGTATGTTACAGCCCAATCTCTCGATCTACCCATCTCTTGTGCCATGCATCTCTGTCGTAATATACATTAATTTTCTTGTGAGGTGCCCAACACCAAATGTTTAACACTTCCTCTAAACCTACAAATGCTATTTGCTTATTTTAAGCTGGGCTGGGCTAAGTTACTTGAACCTATAAAATGCATATATGGCCACAGATAAGCAAATTAAAATATGTCTGACAATAAGGTAGCTGACACTAATCAGAAAATATTCAAATATGAAAATTATCACTGGTTATGTGAAAATGAACTGCAATCTTGCATTACTTTACAACTGCTTAAAATCTTCACAATAATTTCCTTTGGAATGCATTCAACAACTCCAAACGTGCCCAGGAACTTCCTCACTCCCACAAACTTCACACTACTTCATTTTTAGCTTCAATCTTGTAAAATCAAGTACACCTTATAAGCCATTCATCAATCCTGCTCTCAATTCTGACCTATCTGTGTGTGAACAAAGCTCACATTTTTTCTCCTTCCACAGTGCTGTATGACTCCGGTGGTTTAGTGCTAAATTCTGATTATAATAATAATAATTTTCTAATTCCAATGAAAGAAAAAAGTCTAAACATATATAGGGTAGCAAGCAGTTCTTGTGGCCACAGGTCCACTGCAACAGAATCAGATCTTGTGTACATACTGAAGGGTCCATAGAGCTGGTAGCAGGTTATCTGTTGATGGATACATAACTTCAGTAGTAGGTCCCTTGTCCATGGGTCCAGTGCAGTTTCATTTACTGCCTATTTTAAAGATCTTGATTATCATCCAATAACTCCTCAACATCTTTGTCAATGTCTTCTACCCAATTTTATCTTGCAAGATCTACAATATCTCTAGTAATTTCAAGAACTATGTTGACCCCAGTGAAATTGTGGACACAAGATGACGGTCACATAAAATTCTACTTAATAAGGGTATAAGAAAAACAAATTTGAAACCAGTAACAAAGAAAACAAGAGGGCATTATAGTTTGATATGGAAAATAAGTAGTGAGATTACACATAAAAAGAATTCCTTCACAAATTAATGGCAGATAGTAAAAAAAATTCCCAAAAAGGGTTAAAACGTAGTCCCACAACGGGAAAAATAAAAAAAAAATTCCCATTTTACTCTGTTCATGAAGGGTAATATTATTAGAAGATGAAAATTAGGGCACATATGCAAAAAACTGGGTATTTTACCCCAATGTTGATATGTGTCTAATTTTCGTATTTGCTCTATTCCTCAAAGAAATGGTGGGGTGCCCCCCCCAAAAAAATGTAAATACTTTCAACAACATACATTCACTAGCTGTCTTGCCAGAAGTGCATAGACATCACAGTTCAACTGACTCTCCAAACAATTTCTTTTTTTTTAACCCAAAAAGAAAGAAAAAAATATTTATCATTAATTAAAAGCTGGGGCACCATGAGCAAGGCTCTGCTCCAGTAACTACAAATAGGTGACAAATAAAAATAACTAACCTGTTCTTCTATTTGATTCCTGGTATGACCAAGGCGGGTGGAGAAAGGATGACCCAAAGCCACCCATTCTTTCTGGACAAGGCAGTGAAAACCTCGTATAGTGCGCACATGAGGATCCAGAAGTAACTGTACTAAGCTTGATATAACAGCACCAAGGTCACGCCCTTCACTCTCTGTAAAGGGTCAAATCCTCAATACACACCCATTTACATTTTTCAGAAATTTATAAACTAAAAGTGACAATATTTTTTTATTATTTTTATTATCACACTGGCCGATTCCCACCAAGGCAGGGTGGCCCAAAAAAGAAAAACGTTCACCATCATTCACTCCATCACTGTCTTGCCAGAAGGGTGCTTTACACTACAGTTTTTAAACTGCAACATTAACACCCCTCCTTCAGAGTGCAGGTACAATACTGTACAACAAATACATGTTATTAAGAGAACATCTTGTCACTACCTTTGCCAGAATCAAGTGGGGCTGTTCATCTACATAAATTTTTCCAACTTTTGACTTCTTTAGGTCAAATGGGAAGAAAATAGGGCTAAAACTTTTTTCCCATAGCTAGTCTCTTAGTAAATTGTAGCATGTGTGCTCACATACTTTTAACCTATGTTTGTAGTTAAGAACAACCTTCATATGACACATTGTAGCACTTAGCAAGATAAGAGCACAATGTAGCAAAAGAATGAGACCTGATCAACCTTATACTACTGACCTTATGATGGCTATAACCCCTACTCCTCCTCCTCCTGAGGTATCCCCATGAAGTTAAGTGACCCCTCTCCTGTTGCTAACACTTTCTGTGGCTTTGATTCTTGCCACTGAGTGGAAACTCAAAAATGTCGCCTCACAGGAAAGGGTCCTATACATCTTACCCTCCATATGCTCGACTGATACACAAAAAACCCTGTAAATAAAAAAAAAGGTATGACCCCGTTTCAGCCCAAAGACACACTGAAATGCGTACGAGCTTTTCTTTTTTCCGATTGTGGTTTATTTGTGATCGATTCAGTCACTGTAGAGTGCCTTTTTTTTCTTTATAGTTGTTGATACTTGTCATCCAAAACCCCACTCCCCAATCATGGTTGCTTGGTGGTGATATCCGGGTTTACCCCTAAATCAAGAGCAGCATGTTACAAAACCCTTGAGCATGCCCACTGTTAATATTGTAGTTATTACTTATTTTACTTCAGGTTTTGCTAACCTTGGAGAAGACGAGCGTTAAAAGAAGAATTCAGTGGCAGCACTTTTGGCTACTTAAAGACACTTGTAACTGAAAAACCCATCTTGAAGCTCCTCGCTGAAATTTGTGACGATCCTCTCCCAAATTGTACGGGTCTCTAAAAAAAAATAAAGCATTATCTAAAGTAGTGAAAAAGTTTGACTAATTCTAATTTCAAAACAGGGTTATAGGCTCCAAAAGCACTTTTCTTCTTTTTGTTTCCCCAATAACTACAAAACCAAGTTGCAAATTCACTGCAACAAACTCTGAGCAAAGCACATTGCCTCAGAAAAGCAGTTTATATCAAATCTGCTTTAAAAATATTTCAAAAACAAAATCCAGCCCCTTCGAATTTACAAAAATATTAAAATAACATTCTAGAGTATCTCTGAACCTAATAATTAATATTAGTAGATTCAAAGGAAAGAGAAATCCCGTAGGGGAAAACACCCCGGGAAATGGAAGATTCAAGGTGGGCGAGTATTTCACCTTGGATCAAAAGCCTTTCCCCATTACCAAGGCACCCTCTTTTAAAGGGATTAAACTTACAAATTGCTGTCTGTAGTCATCACAAGAACTAAAGTTATACACATGACAACAAAACCACTATAACTAGAATTGTTACCAACATTCCACACCAAGTAAACCTAAATTTTAAAACTTGAAAATAAAAAATGAATTACAAGTTTAGCCTTTTTAACATATCCATTTTTATTATCTCCTTCCCTCATTTTTATCTCTTTGTTAATAAGCATGCGTGAGCGTGTTTGATAGGAGTGAATGGAGACAAATGGTTTTTAATACTTGACGTGCTGTTGGAGTGTGAGCAAAGTAACATTTATGAAGGGGTTCAGGGAAACCGGCAGGCCGGACTTGAGTCCTGGAGATGGGAAGTACAGTGCCTGCACTCTGAAGGAGGGGTGTTAATGTTGCAGTTTAAAAACTGTAGTGTAAAGCACCCTTCTGGCAAGACAGTGATGGAGTGAATGATGGTGAAAGTTTTTCTTTTTCGGGCCACCCTGCCTTGGTGGGAATCGGCCGGTGTGATAATAATAGAATAAATAGAAAATAATAAGTATTCCAAAACTAAGTTACTGTATAATAATTTAACGCAAGCTGAAAAGTGTGTTCATTTGTATCATGCTAATGTTGTTTCTCAAACAAGATCAGTATGGACTCACCTGGGGTGTGTAGTTCTCTTAGCTTCATATAAGAGATCTGAATGTCTTTTAAGGAGGGTAACATTTGGTCGAGATCGAGTATCGTTGGCTGCAGTTTCTTTGGGTGACAACGGTGTACCAACCCCATCATCCTATTCTCCTGCTGTCTGTTAAAATGTATTACTATATTATGCTAAAGATAATGGAGAAATTAACACAAATTCCTGATTTGTAATCAGGTAATAATAAATTAATTTAAGGGACCATATCTGTTGATTCAATTGATCTGGAAACAACAGACAAGGTCCACTGATTACACAATTGCCCAATATTATTAAAGTCACAGAGAAATGATCCCATCCTTATCAACCCCCATTTCCATGACTAGTCACCAGCTCCCCATTAGTCCATTTAATCAAGAATTTACTGTATAAAATTAAATTCAAGGGGAAGAGCTAAACCCATAGGGGTCATACAGCAATTTACTGCATAAATAAAAAGGAATCGAAGTCTGATCAGATGCATGTGTGTGTATTTATAGGTTGCTTGCATAATATAAGACTTTTTTATACGTACTGTACACACTCCCGAATGTTGTTATTATTACAGTCGTGGGGGAGTGTTAAGGCTGTAGGGGTTATACACCAGTTGGAGGAATGGGAGGCATTCAGGTTTGATCCAAGGAATGGAATACAGGTTCAATTCCTTAAACCAACAGCTCCTTTATGGAATCAAGGAACCTCCCTTAAGGGGCACTCCTGAACAGTACACAAGGTGGCAGATGACTGAGAAAATAGCAGGAATAGCACCCTTAAATAAGGCTTAGTAAAATAAGTATCAGAATAATATCATAGTAAACCCTCGACTTAACTGACTTTGAGAGTAAGGGACCAAATCCACTGGGTCAATCGATTAGAGAAGAAATTCTGCTGGTTACAGAATTGTCCATTATTGTTACAACCATAGCAAAACCACTCGTTTCTAACCACTACAATTACCGTTAAGGGCCATCTGCTCTATTAAATCGAGGTTTCACTATTATTAAACTCATGGGGAAGTATTCAATACACAAGGGGTTATGCAGCATCCAGGATATTGGAGGTAATCAGGGTTGATTCAAAGGAATGGAAAGGGGTAATCTAATTTCTTAGATCAAGAACCCTTTGTGTTCCCCAGCATCAAAGAACCCTCAGAAAGGATGTGAATGCTAAGTTATACTTCAGAAGAAAAGAAAATTTACAGATTAATAAGCTTTTCAAGATAGTAAATAGGTATGTGGTACTGATACTTCCTATAAATATGTTAGCAAAATATAGTACTGCATTATGAATATATGATTTAGAAAACAGATAAGTTGATAAATGAGACACTTGTGCAACATTTGGGTACCTTTATTCTGGAAATGTTTCACCAGGCTGAGTAACTGATTACCTCAAACTCCTCCTCATTTTCAATATTTCTCTGCATTGGACTGAAGAAGCCACTGGCTGGCAAAACGTTTTTGGAATAAAGATACCCAAATGTTGCACAAGTATCAGTACTGCATTATTTTTTTATCTAAATATTACATTAATCCCTTCCCCACTGGAATATGTCATGCATCATTCATACCAATACTCACCTCTATAGCCCAAGTAAGATCCATCGCATGCTTTATGTCCAGTATAATGCTTCCCCCTAAATGCTCTATTGTCAATGCTATACAGGGGACCCCGTTAAGAGTTAATCCGTCAAAGGGTCATCGTTATTCGAAATAATCGTTATGCGAATGAATTTTCCCCATAAGAAAAATAAATAAAATAATCCGTTGCATACGCCCAATAAGTATGAAAAAAATTTTTTTTAACCAAGAATGTTTAATTTTAAACTACGCGAAACTGAAAAAGGCATGCACAATTAAATGACACTATACTTATTGAAGATGTGATGATTGATGGATGGAGAGGGGGAGAAATTTCTTCTACTGTTTAAAGGGGATCCCCTTCCCTACGACTGAGGTAGCAAGTCCTTTCCGGGGTATTTACCCTTTTCTTTTAATGCCACTAGGACCAGCTTGAGGTCACTGGACCTCTTATGCACAAAAATCTGTCCATAGAGCTCTGTACTCCGTTCTTAACGATTTGTCTAAAATGGCCACACATTGTCATTGGGAAATTGTCACCACACGGCTTGCAACAGCTGTTTCAGGTGATTTTCATCTATAAGGTTTGCATTCAACCACTGTGCACACATTTCCTTAATCTTGAAGTAGGCACAATGGATTCCACAACTGGCATAGGTCTTCTCAGGGTTAGCCCCAAACCCTCAAAATCTTCTTAATTTCCATACTAATTCCACCCTTTTTACCACAGGGTTGGCACTCAAATTTCTGGGGCCCATGGTCACTTATTTTCCGAAACAGACCGAAAAACTGTATATACGAAATATTTCCGATGTATGCTTGGATGTTACCGCGGAGGCTGGCTGTAAACAATGGACGCCGACACATGTGAGGGCACATTGGACGCTCTCGGATGAAATCGGTAAGGTGTTTTAATCGGTAATGCGCGCAAAAATTTTGCGATAAAAGTAATCGTTATGCGGAAAAATCGCTATGTGATGCCATCGTTATGCGGGGGTCCACTGTACTTGGTTGTTATGCCCAGCATATGATGGACCCCATTAAAACACTCAATCCAATCAAAATGGCAAAGCCCAGAACAATGGAAGGCATCACACCACCCAGATACACAGGCTTGGTAAGTAACTGCCTAGACTGGGAGAAGCAACCCACTGCAACTGAAGACTCAGATGGGCAGTACAATTCTCACTATCAAAACTGAAGACCCAGACAGAGTACAAACCTCACTTTCACAAATGAAGACCCAGATGGAAAGTACAGATCACACTATCATAAATGAAGACCCAGACAAAAAGTACAAACTTCACTATCAAAACTGAAGACCCAAATGGGGAGTACAAATTTCAGTATGTATTTAAAGAGAGAGTAGTGCCAGCTCTGATGTCCTGGAATAATTATGGTGCTCAGCAATCTCCTTGAAGCCCCAGTCTCTAGTCCAAATGTAGTAGGTTCTGGGGGATTCCAGGGTCCAAAGGAAGGGGAAAGCCAGGGCCAGTACCCCAACAGGTACACCATCATTCATTCAATCACATGTCTTTCCAAAAGTGTGCTGACATCACAATCCAGATAACCTTCCAACTACAACAGTCCCATGCCTCCATCAAACTATAAGCACTGCCCTTTCTGCCTAAAAGACTCAAATCCTGGTGACTGATTTCCCTGTATCCCTTCATAAAAGTTACCTTGCTCAAACTCCAACAATACATCAATTAAAAAACACTTGACCCCATTCCCTCCTATTCAATGTGCTCCCACATGCCTGGTGGATGCTCAAGCCCTAAAACTGTAAAGTAACTAACTGGATAAACCTATCAATCCTACTATAGACAGAAAGCACCTGAATGTGAGGCAGGGCTTGCTGTAAGACACTACAGCAGAGGATGGTTTCTGTGGCAGATGCACATTTTGTGATGCTATCTTAATAGATTTAACAATAATTTTTATATAAATAAAATATCTGCTCTAATAATAATGCTAGACAACACACACCCACACGGCCTATGAGGAGAGGTTAAGGGAAATCGACCTGACGGCACTGGAGGACAGGAGAGAGAAGGGGAACATGATACAACATATTAAATACTGAAAGGAACTGACAAGGTAGACAGAGACAGGTAATTTGTCTATTACACATAATACATAATGTAAAATTTTTATTCCATTGACCATAGTTATTTATAATTTCAGTCATAGAATCCTGAATTAACAATGGAGAAAGGTCAGTATATATTAGGTCTCCTATAAATATGAAGTAGAAAAATAATGATAATAGGGTAAAAACAATCAATAAAAATCTTTATGGGGCCCAGCTCAAGATTTCCAATAAGCCTTACATTTGTCTTTACAATGAATTTTGTTTACCTGAATACTGATAAGTTAAAAATAATGACTAATTTTTTCTTGAAACATCAAAAATAAGTGCATTTCTATAAGATGAAACGATTAGTTTGACAGTATGATATATGCTGTGAAATGCAATGTACAAATCTTTACATGCAGGATTTCTAAAACCATTTTAAGGACAAGCTTGCCATATGCTTTAAAAACATTTTTCCATGCAAAATTTCTGAAATTTTAGCCATAAATGTTACCTTACACTCCAACAACACGTTTATTACAAATCAACTGTCCTCATTTACTCCTATATCAACATGCTCACATAAGACTGCTGACCACTCGATCCCTTGTAAAAAAAATTTTTTAACATGTTGGCCGTTTCCCACCATGGCAGGGTGACCCAAAAAGAAAGAAAAACCCAAAAGGAAAGAAAAGAAACTTTCATCATCATTCAACACTTTCACCATAACTCATATATAATCACTGTCTCTGCATAGGCACTCAGATACGACAGTTTAGATGTCCCTCCAAACTGCCAATATACCAGACACCTCCTTTAAAGTGCAGGCACTGCACTTCCCATTTCTAAGGCTCAAGTCTGGCTAATCAGTTTCCCTGAATCTTTTCAAAAAATATTACCCTGCTCACACTCCAACAACTTGTCAGGTCCCAAAAACCATTCGTCTCCATTCACTCCTCTCTAACACGCACATGCACGCTTACTGAAAGTCCAAGCCCCTCGCCCAGAAAACGTCCTTTACTCGCTCCCTCCAACCTTTTCGGGGACGACCCCTACCCCACCTTCCTTCCCCAACAGATTCATGCGCTCTCCAAGTCATTCTATTTTGTTCCATTCTCTCTAAATGACCAAATCACCTCAACAGCTCCTCCTCAGCCCTCTGACTAATACTTTTAGTAACTTCACACCTCCTAATTTCCACACTACGAATTCTCTGCATAATATTTGCACCACAATTGCCCTTAGACAGGACATCTCCACTGCCTCCAGCCGCCTCCTCACAGCAACATTTACAACACGAGCTTTACACTCATATAAGAGTGTTGGTACCACACTACTTTCGTACATTCCCTTCTTTGCCTCCATGGATAACGTTTTTTGTCTCCACAGATACCTCAATGCACCACCCACCTTTTTTCTTTCATCAATTCTATAGCTAACCTCATCCTTTATAAACTCATCTGCTGACAAGTCAACTCCCAAATATCTGAAAACATTCACTTCTTCCATATTCTCTCCCTCCAATATAATATCTAATTTTTCTTTACCTAAATTGTTTGATACCCTCAACACCTTACTCTTATCTATGTTCACTTTCAACTTTCTACCTTTACACACCCCTTGTAATTTTTTTTTAACATATTGGCCATTTCCCACTGAGGCAGGGTGACCCAAAAAGAAAGGAAAGCCCAAAAAAGAAAGAAAAAACTTTCATCATCATTCAACACTTTCACCATCAATCATACATAATCACTGTCTTTGCAGAGGCACTCAGATACAACAGTTTAGACATCCCTCCAAACTGCCAGTATCCTAAATCCCCTTGTAAATGTTTAATATAAATGTCTAAAATAAAATGTTGCTAATGTAAAGAAATGAATATGAAACTCACAAGAACATTTGTCAATGATTTATATATCAATTTTCCAATTCATTGACCTGGTATAACACTTGTTCAGTAGATAAATTCATAAACAAATGTAACTGACTAATATTTGCATTATCAAAACAGGAATTTTTCGTATTACCAACACCCAAAAGCTTAATATACAAAACAGTACTAACACTGCCATGATGCTAAGGATTATTACAGTACTTTTCTCAGTAAAAGTAGGCCTTAGACAGGGATGCAAGATGTCACTATGGTTGTTCAATATATTTATAGAAGGGGTTGTAAGAGAAATGAATGCTTGGGTGTTGGGAAGATGTGTGGTATTTAACCCGTAAACGGTCCAAACGTATATATACGTTTTTTCAACATTTGAAAGTATGTAAAAAAGTAGAACTTTTTTGTTTTTTTACATCTGAAAATGTGTAAAAAAAACTTTGGTCTACTTTTTTTTTATGTCATATTTGAAAATATGTAAAAAAAATTTTAGATCTACTTTGGTAGCACTACACATGTGAACGTAGATCTGCTTGGACCGTTTACGGGTTAAAAATAAAGAACCTAACACAAAGTAGGAGCTGTCACAGCTGCTTTTTGCTGATGACACTGTGCTTTTGGGAGATTCTGAAGAGAAGTTGCAGAGGTTGGGAGGGTATGTAAAAGAAGGAAATTATAAGTGAACATAGGAAAGAGCAAGGTATACCTGGAGTATACCTGGTATACAAAAAATTTAGGCAATGAAAGACTGGATATCAGAGTGAAGGGAGGGAGTATGGGGAAACTGAATATTTTCATACATTTGGGAGTGGACTTGTCAGCAGATGGGTCTATTAAAGACAAGGTTAACCATAAAATTGATTATGGAAAAAAGATGAGTGGTGCACTGAGTTTGTGAACACAAAGAACACTATCCATGGAAACAGAGAGGGGAATGTATAAGAGTATAGTTATACCAATGCTCTTACATGGGTGTGAAGCATAGGTGGTGAATGTTGCAACAAGGAGAAGGCTAGAGGCAGTGGAGATGTCATGTCTGAAGGTAATATGTGGTGTGAATATTATGCAGAGAATCTGTAGCTTGGAGAATAGGATGTGAGAAGTTTCTAAAAGTATTATCCAGAGGGCTGAGGAGGGGTTGCTGAGATGGTTTGGACATTTAGAGAGAATGGAACAGAACAGAATGACTTGAAGGATATATAAAGCTGTAGTGGAAGGAAGGCAGGGGAGGAGTCATCCAATGAAGGACTGGAGGGAAGGGGTAAAGGTTTCGTGTGCAAGGGGCTTAGAATTCCAGCAAGCATGAATGAGTGTGTTGGATAGGAGCGAGTGGAGGCAAATGATTTTTATGATGATGTGCTACTGGAATGTTAGAAAGGTAATACTTATGAAGGGATTCAGAGAAACCAGTTAACCAGACTAGTCCTGGAGGTCGAAAGTACAGTATCTATGCTCTGAAGGAGGGGTGTAAATATGTTGCAGTCTTTGTTAACTGTAGTGTCAGCATGCCTCTGGCAAGACAGCAATGGAATGAGTGATGCGTGTCTTGCTTGGTGGGAAACAAACGATGTGTTAATAAAAAAAATAAAAAAAATTCACGAGGTGCTAAACCTGTGAGGGTCAGTGACATCTTGGAAATCTGAGATAATTAAGGCATCCCTTTCTCTTCCTCCATGAAGAGTTTGAAACTAAAGAATATTAACTAATCAATGGCATTTAACTGTTGATACACATTACAGCCAAGAGCTGCCCAACTACTGTACAGATGTGTTACTGGAACACAGCTGAGGCTCATCAAACCCACAAGTATATAAAAAATAAAAGCTGTGCAACACTTGGGTATTTTTACTGTAGAAAAATTTCATCATCCAGTGACTTTATTATTCGAATACAGAGAACCATACTGGGGACGGTAGAAAACCGAAACCATTTTTACTTCATGTCTTCCACTGTCTCCAGTATTATTCTCAGTATTGGATTGGCAAAACATCTCCACAATAAAGATACCCATGTGTTCCCTATGTGTCTTACTCATCTACAGCTAAGGCTGTGATGTGTTACCCATTTTTCCATGTCTTACACATCTACAGCTGAGGCTGCCATGTGTTACCCATGTTTCTATGTCTTACACATCTACAGCTGAGGCTGCTAAGGCTGCCATGTGTTACCCATGTTTCTATGTCTTACACATACAGCTGGCTCAAAGCGCCAGGTTACCCATGTTTCTATGTCTTACACATCTATAGCTGAGGCTACTAAGGCTGCCATGTGTTAACCATGTTTCCATGTCTTACACATCTACAGCTGAGGCTACTAAGGCTGCCATGTGTTACCCATGTTTCCATGTCTTACACATCTACAGCTGAGGCTACTAAGGCTGCCATGTGTTAACCATGTTTCCATGTCTTACACATCTACAGCTGAGGCTTCCACATGTTGAACCAAAAGCTAATCACTACAGCTATGCTCTTCATTACTAACCACAATGCTAAACATTTTACCACTTAATCTCGTAAATATACACTTACTAAGCCATTACTATCATATTTACTAAAATATACTTATCAGTTTAGTTTGAGAGATTGCTAATAAGACTGAGTCAGTAAAAATCTTCCATCACCATCTTAGGCAGCTTAGCAAAAAGCTGGATGCAAGAAGCAAGCTTTTTAAAGGGCTTTGGTTACTGAAACAACCAATATGGTTGTGTCTGGGTTACACTATCAAGGAGTAACATGACTGACTCACTCACTGGCACACTTCCTCCAGCTTTCTTCTCTTCAAAGTTCCCATAGATTTTGTCACCGACATCCTTCAATAGTTTAGGAAAAAAATGGTACATTAATGCAATATAAATTGTGTTGTGTCACTCTGTTTGGACTCAGCATATACAGTTAATATACCGATTTCCAAATGAGATTCATTATTAGTTGTTTACTTACAAAAAAATCAGTCAAAATAAAGCCTTTTGAAAAAATATTAAGAACAGATGCAATTACTAAAAAGTTATGACAGCATTAACCATTAATATTGCAATAAAAATAACTCCTTTAATAATTCAGTGGTTGAGTGTACAGGTAAACCCTCGATTTAACGAATCTCAATTTAACAGACTTCAAAAACAAGGGACGAATCTGATGGTCAATTGATTCAAAACAACAACAACAACAAAAAAAAAAAGTTCAATGGTTACAGAATTGTCCATGACTGTTACAAACATAGCACAAAACAATCTCGTCTCTGTCCTCCACAGCCGCCATTAGCAGCCTCCCACTCCCTCCTGAGTCCATTAAATTGAAAGTTTACTGTATATACCTGTGACTGATTTTAAGTGTTGCACTCTTAGAGCCTGACCAGAGGCTGGATTTTCCTGTTAAATGTTGCTGCTGTTAAATGGCCTAAAAACCTACAGAACCATCATAACCTGGTTGATCTGACAAATACTTAACATATAATTAACAATCCTGGTTTATCCATTTATCAGTGCTGCTATTGTATTATTAAATTACAAGGGCAAAACAAATACAATAAACCAAACAAGGAAGTTAAAACACACTAACACAAGTGTAAAAACTTGCACAGCTAATTGTATACAAGCATTAACTTATACAGTAACTACTGAAAAAATGTGCCTTAACTTACTTATCTGTAATACTAGGGGAGATCTGTGCCATGCGAACTAACGCTGCTCCAGCCAAAGAACCCCAACACCACACAGGAGGACGTGTGCCTTGAAAATGTTGTGCTGCTTCATCTAACTGAGCATCTAGAAGATCACGTGGAACCACCACCACTGCTGGCAATCTGCAATAGTAGGAACAGGCTATTTGAAATGTGGACATTTTAACCCATCCAATGCCCTAAGGAAGTACAGTGTCTGCACTCTGGAGGGGTGAAGATATATTGCAGTTTTTGAACTGTAGTGTCAGCACCCCTCTAGCAAGAGTGATGGAGTGAGTGATGATGAAAGTGTTTCTTCTTTTTTGGGTCTCTCTGCCTGGGTGGGAAATGGCTGATTTTTTTTTTTTTTTTTTTCAACAAGTCGGCCGTCTCCCACTGAGGCAGGGTGATATGTTAGTAATAAAAAAAAAAAAAATAATGATCTTTGGGATAACTATGAGGAACAAAGGTTGAAGAACTTAGTAAGTCATAATATAGTAGCTGCAACAATTCACCAAAAATCTGCATTTGGTTTTGACTTGACAGCAATCTAAGAATAACCAAAATATCACATAAGGTTTTTGGCGAGCTGAAGGACTCATTATGCTTAGAAACTCTCCAGTTAAATCAATTTACAATGAACAAAAACTGAAGAACTTATGCTTAGAAATTCTCCAGTTAGGACAACTTACAAGCAACAAAGGTTGAAGAACTTGTTATGCATAGAAACTCTCCAGTTAGAACAACTTACGAGGAACAAAGGTTGAAGAACTCATTATGCTTAGAAACCCTCCAGTTAGGACAGCGTGTTCGGTGCAGTTCTCTCTCCCAGTCTTGAGCCACACTGGTAAAAAAACAATATTTTTACCATCTTGAAATTAATAAGTTTTCAATAGTTAAAAAATTATATACAATACAGTAACATAATATCTCTCTTATTTGAACTAACCTGAAATTGTTCTCTTATTTAAAGAAAATAATTAAGAGGCATCCTTAATGAACATTTGGTATTCTCTTGCAATCATAATTCTCAGAGTAGGTGAGAATATTCTTAATTCAGATTTACAAAATATTCTCTTGCTAAAAAAAATTCCAAGCTGAGGGCTTAAAATTAAAAATTTTCAGTGAAATAAGGAGTACAGGAAGGCCCTATTTGTAACCAATTAGGTTCCTGACCCCAGCTGATAAGCAAAAATTGCCAGCCATTGGAAAAATCGGTTTTTCAACACTGAATGCAACTAAAATGCCTGAAAACATGTTTACGGTAATATATACATATTATGTGCTCAATACAACTAGGCCAAAAAAACAGATACAAAAGTGAAGTAAATACATAGTACATAAAATATTCACCTTAAAATATGGTGCCAAACGCCCGTCCCTGATGCAGCTATGGTGCGTAAAAAGCACTGAACATAATGAACAATGGCTCAATTGAAAACTGGTGAAATCTTAATACAGTGAAAATAGGGTGCCAAAAAACCAGGGCCCTACTGTATTCAAAATTTCAGAGAGCATTCCAAATACCCAGAAATGTGTTGCTCACACACACTAAGGGCCCAGGCAGTTGCATATAGTTTCACTACTCTTGAAGTTTCAGACTTTTTGAGTAATTACTTACCTTCTCATCCACAAAGATAATCTGTCTGCTTATAGCTCAGAGAATGAATCTATTGCCCATTTACTGATGCAAACAAAAGCAAAAAAGCAAACTCAGAATGTTTTTATGTAATTTATGCCAATGAGTAATATTCTCCTAAACTAACCAGAAGTCTGGGATGCCAGGTGAAGGTGGAGGGTGGCCACATGAGAGGAAAAGATGATCTATGGTGGGTGGGAAGGCATGATGTAGAAGAGCTTGTGTCACTCTTAGGTCTTCACCTGCTGGGGTGAACTTGAAGCTGAAGTTTATGATGCGAAGGTTCTGAAAGGAAGACAAGAGTAGTTTTCATTACATAGATGGTATACAATGCTGAAAAGCTGAGGAATAAGACACACATGGACACCTGGGTATTTTCAGGCACTGATTGCTTCATCTCTCACTGTCACCAACAAGTAATCTCCGTAGTGAACTGAAAAAACCCTGCTTGGCAGAAGTCTTCATAATAAAGATACCCAAGTGTTGTATACACCTCTCATTAATCAATAAATTGGTTATCATGACTGACCACCTATATCTGCAATGTCTCATTTTCTAAAAAAAAATTAATAAAAATAAAATATTCAAGCTGCATAATACTGGCAAGACATTCTTAAAATTAAATCAATACACCTTGCACTGAAATAATCATCTTTTTTAATGGGGCTCTCTTTCCTTTTCCAATTACATGTATTATTATATTCATGGAGAAGAATGAAGCCCATAATGGTCACATAATGCCTGAAGAATGGGAAGCAATGAAGTTTGATCCATGGAAGGGGAAAGCAGATACAATTCCTTAGCTCAAGAGCCCTCCCATAGCAGTAAGTTTTTTCCTAGCAAAATGTTGGATATCTCTTTCCCTTCTAGCCTCTTCTACCTAAATGCAAGCACTAATTCCAACATTTGCACCTTCTGAATGTTGAACTCTAAATAATCAGACATCAATGGCTCATCGCTGTTTATTACTCTCTCCAGTCATCTTAACACTTTCAAGTGCATATTCTTTCTTTCTCTCCAATGCCAATTTTTTTCTTAAAGTTAATTTTAAAGACCCAAATAATAGGTTAGTGTGTATCACCCTTTGACCGCACGCTCATCATACATTTACTACTACTACTACTTTATCTGCCTTTTTCATATCCCACAGTAAGAATCTGACCTTCCTGAATAGTACCACTACTACTACAGGTACAACACTGATTTTCCGGACCTTTGGGTTCAAAGCCTTTCCGGATTACTGACTTTTTCGCCTTTAGAGAGCGCAGTATTCCTTGGTCTTGGGGTTGGATAAGTGACACACAGTTTGGTGGTAAATACACTGCCGTGAGAATTTCAAGTTCTTGCTCATAAATTTGTATGGCTCCAGACCAACAGTGTCTGGAAAATCAACATTGTACCTGTACTCTGCTACTGGTAGAGGACTGCCTTCATCTCCTCCAGCACCATCCCACGATGAAGAACACAATACCGTGACTGGAACAATACATAAATAACCTGCAAATAGGAGAAAGAAACTTTATGATGATGTTTTGGTCTGACTTGAACAATTAACTAGTTATACTATGTGATTTGTTAATGGTCCAAGTCAGACCAAAATGTCATTATAAATTTTGTTTCTCCTATGTGCGAGGTATTGGTGTATCATCCCACAACCATTACCATCACCACTACTACCAACTCTATCATCCCAATTAACCAGTGTTTAAAACATTTTTGCGTTTGAATGATAAAAGTACAGTGGACCCCCGCTTAACGATCACCACACAATGCGACCAATTATGTAAGTGTATTTATGTAAGTGCGTTTGTACGTGTATGTTTGGGGGTCTGAAATGGACTAATCTACTTCACAATATTCCTTATGGGAACAAATTCGGTCAGTACTGGCACCTGAACATACTTCTGGAATGAAAAAATATCATTAACCGGGGGTCCACTGTATATACAAACGTAACAATTTATACCAAACTAGCCATTACCTTAAGAACTAACTGTAACCCTGAGAGTCTCGGAGGCAAAGGAGCATTGTAAAATAATCGTTTCTTTTTTGTTGATCCTTCAGAAAATTGATTTACTGAATCGACTTCAGAGAGGCACACATCGTGCACGTTAAGAAAATGGTTTTGAAGGCTTCTTTCGTGCAGCTCAGCCTCCTGAAAATATATTACAGAATTAAAGTAAATGCTTGGAGATAGGGATGAATAACAAATAAGTTCAAATTAATTTAAAGTGAAGAGTACAGTTTAGAGGTAATAAATGGGTAGACAGCAATCCTCCCAAGAGATAATACTGTCTTGTCATAAGTGTGTCAAACAAACTTTATTTTCATAATGTATATATACTTTAAAGGAGGGGTTTGGGATATTGGCAGTTTGGAGGGATATGTTGTGTATCTTTATATGTGTATGCTTCTAGACTGTTGTATTCTGAGCACCTCTGCAAAAACAGTGATAATGTGCGAGTGTGGTGAAAGTGTTGAATGATGATGAAAGTATTTTCTTTTTGGGGATTTTCTTTCTTTTTTGGGTCACCCTGCCTCGGTGGGAGACGGCCGACTTGTTGAAAAAAAAAAAAAAAAAAAAAAATATATACAAATTCTCCATGGGAAAGTGGTAAAGAATTCCTCCTCCATAAGCTAAGTGCATCATAAGAGGCAACTAAAATGCCAGGAGCAAGGGGCTAGTAACCCTTTCTCCTGTATAAATTACTAAATTTAAAAAGAAAAACTTTCATTTTTCCTTTTACGTCACCCTGCCTCAGTGGGATACAAACAGCGTGTTGAAAAAAAATAAGAATTACAGGAGGGCCCTGCTTTACAATGCTTTGCTTTACAGTGTTTCTCTAATACAGCAGTTTTCAATCTATACCAGTTCTTCATTTTTTCCAGATTTCCTACAATAACTATATTCACCACTCACTATAAGCAAAAGATGAAAATATTTTAAGGTTAGTAATGTGTGTAATGTATATGAATTTTTTTAGGCCTAGCTCTATTGCTCATATATATATGATAATATATGATAGTGTAATATATGATAGTGTAAACATATTATCAGGCTTTTTATATGCATTTGAAAGTGAAAAAAGGCTGTGTTTCAAAACGTACAATGTATTTCGCTTTACAACAGTAGCCTGGAACCTAACCTGCTGTATAAGCAGGGTCCTACAGTAGCCTGGAATCTAACTTGTTGTATAAGTAGCCCAGAACTTAACTAAATGTGTATTAAAATAGCAATGTAAGAGAGAGTAAAAACACACCTGTATTAACAATTTTAGTTATAATAATATTGGGGTAATTTTAGTGATAATGTTTGGAGGGTAATTTTAGTGATAATGCTTGGAGGGTAATTTTAGCGATAATGATTGGAGGGTAAATTTAGTGATAATGATTGGAGGGTAAATTTAGTGATAATGATTGGAGGGTAAATTTAGTGATAATGATTGGAGGGTAATTTTAGTGATAATGATTGGAGGGTAATTTTAGTGATAATGATTGGAGGGTAATTTTAGCAATAATGATTGGAGGGTAAATTTAGTGATAATGATTGGAGGGTAATTTTAGTGATAATGATTGGAGGGTAATTTTAGTGATAATGATTGGAGGGTAATTTTAGTGATAATGACTGGAGGGTAATTTTAGTTATAACAATTGAGGAAGTGGTGATAACAAGTGCTTGAGTACAAATGTTGATTGGAATCTGGATAAGCAGGCTGCAACAGATATTTTCAACATTTATAGTCTATGTAATTTACATCGTTGTCAAATTTCTTGTATTCAAGTTCATTCATTAACTGATTCCATTAATACAGTTGTTAATTTTCACTTTATATTTGGATGCAATGTCAGTTTATCATTTTCATGTACAGTACAGTATAGCCCCTTTACAAATTTTGAAATTTAATGTTGCCAACTTGAACAAAAATACTGGTGACTTCTGTAGTAGAGGAGAGAAATATACGCTGTAGTAGCATAACAAACTTAAATAAAAAAAAATTGTGCAATATTTGTAGATAATCAATTTCTTTTTTAACAAACTGGCCATCCCAAAAAAAAAAAAAAAGCAGCCAAATAAAATGAACATAGCACATGAAAGACCAACTGTAAACTTAAACAGGGTTTCATACCTTTGTGTCAACTGGAAGAGAAGTAACGAAAGAAACTTTGAAGTTGGTTATGAACAAGGTGCCAGAGATTCCTGTTTTGTTGGTCTTCAGAGGAGCAAACTTCAGCACATTATTAGCTTCTGCTATCACAATTTCTCCTGCATATTTATTGAAATATGTTAGTTTTGGAAAGAACCTGGCAGGAAGTGCATTCAACTGAAGATGACAAATACTTCCATATCCTTTAATTATCATAGACATTGCATAAACTTAAAAGAATAGAGGATCTAAAATAAAACTTTTTTTTCCAAAGTGACCATTGCCGTACACAGCAGAACATAGATGAGTGTGCACACACATATAATTACTATTTACTTGCATGTCCCATCTTTATTAATTAGTTTATCATACAGCTCATTACATATTCAAGTAGTTGAAGCATTTCCTACCTTCCTTTGTACCCCATTCCATTAGCCTAACATTATTTGCAAAAAAAATTAAACATTTCTGGTGCCCTTACAGCCTTGCTTTAACCTCAATTAGCAGTTGTAGCTTCTTGGCCTGCCTACTGATAATGCTAAAAACCCTACAATACTTACACTTGAAGAAGGAAAAGGCTTTCAATGCCGCAGTGGGTCCAATGACAATACCAGAATATATTTGGCCTTCCATTCACATAAATCCAGCCTAATAATGCAACAATTGTTATATTTCTGCATTTTGTTGAGTATTTCAGCCATATCAAACATCTAGTGGCAAACTACCATAAGATAACTTTGCCTAAGAAACATCAGAAGTCAGAAAAATTAACTTCCTCTTAACAAGCCCTGAGGCATCAACTGCATGCTGTAAGATTAACTCATGAAACATGAAGGCAGGGGCTCAATGTAGATTTTTTTTTTTTTTCAACAAGTTGGCCGTCTCCCACCGAGGCAGGGTGACCCAAAAAGAAAGAAAATCCCCAAAAAGAAAATACTTTCATATCATTCAACACTTTCACCACACTCACACATAATCACTGTTTTTGCAGAGGTGCTCAGAATACAACAGTTTAGAAGTATATACGTATAAATATACACAATACAGTGGACCCCCGCATAACGATTACCTCCGAATGCGACCAATTATGTAAGTGTATTTATGTAAGTGCGTTTGTACGTGTATGTTTGGGGGTCTGAAATGGACTAATCTACTTCACAATATTTCTTATGGGAACAAATTCGGTCAGTACTGGCACCTGAACATACTTCTGGAGTGAAAAAATATCGTTAACCGGGGGTCCACTGTATATCCCTAAAAACTGCCAATATCCCAAACCCCTCCTTTAGAGTGCAGGCATTGTACTTCCCATTTCCAGGACTCAAGTCCGGTTATATGTAGATGCACTGACTAAAATGTAATGGGTACATCTGTATCTAGCAATATGAAACTATCGTAATTTTTTTTTTTACACCCCCTCCCCCCCCCAAAAAAAAAAAAAAAAAAAAAATCACCACCACCTATTCTACAGCTGTCTTGCCGTAAGCATGCAGATGTCACAATTTAAGAGATCTTCTGAGCTACAACATTCCCACCCTTCCTTCAGAGTACAGGAGGAGGTGGCAATATGCAAGAACATTTTTATATATATTTTATGCCAAATATCTAGGAACAGAACTTGTGGTACAACATAACCAGTGACATGATGCCTAGCAAATGTGAACCCACCCATAAAGCCAATTGCCTCCATAAGAATATCACCAGGAACTAAAGCTGAGGCTGCTGAAGATTCCTCAACACCTCTAGCTGAATGAGATCATAGGCCAAAAGTGATAAATTCTAAGCTATGTAAACTGACCAAATTACTTGTTAGTAATAGCTGATTTCTAGCAAAACTTTTACAGACAAGCAAAACCCCTGCTTGTCTGTAAGAGTGAAAAGATAAGAACAAAATAATGAAAGCCTTATGGACAAAAAGTTGTTGTCTGCTTTCAAATATACACAGTTCTACAGAACATTGATGCCTCCATAATCAAGGGGTTACTTTTCTGGAAGCTCCACAGTTGTGGAAAATTCCATAAAAGTATCTCAAACACCAAAGCTCAGTGTGGTGTCTGACAGTGTATGCATCAGCCAACTGCTCCAGTACAGAAAGCTGGCTGCCTCCTTCAAGACCATGTGAAGGCCAGATAACATTGTTGTGAATTTTTCTAACATTATCAAATAAAGCTGAACTGCAGATACAACTTAAAATGTAATATAGCAATAGCTGCTAGTGAGGACACCAGATTATAAAAATCAGAGATAGCAAGGTTGGGAGGTGGTGAGGTTTGGAGGCAGTGATGAAAAAAATATCGTTGGTTCAGTGGTGGTAGTCACATGTAGGTTAAGTCTTAAAATGGCTGGTGGATCATCTGGCAAAATGGCCAAGAAAACTGATCTAACCCAATTTTCTGAAGAACTGGGCACCATGGTTTTCTATCACTAGACATTTATTTGACAGGATTCTTAAACAAATCACTAGTAGAATGATGAAACACTTGAAATATACAATTTTTAAATTTCTATTGAACGTCATCAACTTAGAATTTCAACAAGAAAAGTCATCTGAAGGCCTTAAATGTATGTATGTAGCAGAGATACAAATCCTCTTGTATGTGTTATCTGTTTTTTGTTGATGAACTCTTTAACTTTTTTTCCAAATTCCGTGGTGAGCCTCTCACTCACATTTTTATCATGAATTACTTTTTGTGCAGCCTATAATGAATCTTTACTGCAATTATTATCCTCTTGCAATGTACAATGAGCAGCCCTCAGTGACAGATTTCCAGAAGTTAATTTATCCATACAGAAGTTAATCTATTTATAGATTTTATACATTATTGTTTCTGAAATAAACTAATTATTTCCCAATACACTAATTTATTTTTGTAATTTCTTTGATAAGAATACACCTTTTTACATGCAGACTAGATGTACCATCACCTTCACACCGTTGAAGAGGCTCTTGCAGAAATATTTGGGTATTATCAGCGTTGTTGTAAGAGTCCCCCACTTGCTGTTTTTTCAACTTAACTGTTTTCAGAAATGCAATGAAAGTTAAGATATACTGTTCATGTATCACGTGTTATTCAACAGCTCTTTATTTTTTCCTGCTAATAATTAAACACAAGTCGTACTTCACCATCTGAGTGCTTGGAAACGTCTATATTCAACAATCACAAATACGATGAACATTATTACTGTAGCAATCATTGCAGTTAAAGTGTATACACAGTACATCCCTAAGAATTTATCAATCACTTCATTTGGCCATTGCAAATAACACATGAAATTCTGTTATGCAACATGCTGCAACAGTATAATGTACGTATATGTATTTGGTGCAGCACTTGAGAGAAAAAAGTTTCCTGTCATCAGGAAACTTGGTCTCAGCTGCACCACCAATGTCCGTGAAAGAACACTAGAACCTCTCAGGAAGCCGTACAAGCATCTTTCCTTTTCAATGTCTCAGTAGGTCACTGTACTAATAATAGTTTATGCTACTAGTCCTTCTAGTAAATTTAGCTACATTTTTTATTTCCAAAAGCATATGATCACTTTTTCCAAAGGGGATTAGACAGTTTATGTTGAGAATTTCTTTTTAAATTTTTAGTAGATACTAAATTTAATAATATTAGGGTATTGCCTTTTTTTTCCACTTGAGAAGCTTGAGGAATTAGCAATCTGCTTATTGCTCTAACCTAATTGGCAACCTAGCCTATTGTTAATATCTGCATCTTCCACTGTCTGTTGTATAAATTTCTACAATTTTCATAATATGTCCATGTACTGTATTCATAAAGCAACTGGACGGTGAAACATCTACAATTAAAGAAACCCAAATGCTGTACACGTGTCTAATTCTTCATACTGTCCATAGATGAAATCCAATCACAAAGGCATTTGACTTTATGTGATTACTTTTTGTTAGTATATTTTGCAGTTGCCTGCTTTTTCAGGCTAATAATGGATACTGGTGATGATAATGATGTTGATGGATACTGGTGATGATAATGATGTTGATGGATACTGGTGATGATAATGATGTTGATGGATACTGGTGATGATAATGATGTTGATGGATCCTGGTAATGATAATGATGATGGATACTGGTGATGATAATGATGTTGATGGATACTGGTGATGATTCTGTTGATGGATACTGGTGATGATAATGATTACTGGTGATGATAATGAATACTGGTGATGATAATGAATACTGATAATGAAAATGGATACTCGTGATGATGAACAGTGATGATGATGGATACTGGTGATGATAAATAGTGATGATGATGGATACTGATGATGAATAGTGATGATGATGGATACTGGTGATGATAAATAGTGATGATGATGGATACTGGTAATGATGATGATGATGATGGTTACTGGTAATGATGATGATGATGATGGTTACTGGTAATGATGATGATGATGATGGTTACTGGTAATGATGATGATGATGGTTACTGGTAATGATGATGATGATGGTTACTGGTAATGATGATGATGATGGTTACTGGTAATGATGATGATGATGGTTACTGGTAATGATGATGATGATGGTTACTGGTAATGATGATGATGGTTACTGGTAATGATGATGATGATGGTACTGGTATGATGATGATGATGGTATACTGGTAATGAATGATGAGGGATGGTACTGGTAATGATGATGATGGATACTGGTAATGATGAAGATGATGGATACTGGTAATGATGATGACAATGATGGATACTGCTAATGATGATGACAATGATGGATACTGGTAATGATGATGACAATGATGGATACTGGTAATGATGATGACGATGGATACTGCCATATTGGTAATGATGATGATGGACACTGGTGATGATAAAGGCCCAATATTTACTATACTCACCTGGGAGAAGTTCTGGCTCAGCCTTCACCTCAACAATTTCTTCAGGAACATCAATGGGTCTCTGGAATATTAATTAATGGGTCATCACATTATTTCTTATATGATACCACACTTACTGCACACACACATAGTAAACCCTCAATTTAACAAACTTTGGAAATTCTGGACAAAATTCGCTGACTAACAATAATGAACAAATCTGGAAACTGACAAATTATGTCAGTTACAGAATTGTCCATTACTCTTAGTCACAGTAAAATAGTCACATCTCTATTCACCACAATCTCCATTACTGGTCACTCACTGTATCCTCTTAGTACATAAAATCGAGTGTTTAATGTATTAAAAAAAAAATTTGCTTAAAAGCCATATAAAACAAGGAAAAGATACATCTTCACAAATATAATAAACACATTTTTCTGGTTTCCTTAGCTACCCACCAAAGCATCACAGCCAATTCTCCAATTCTGCTGGAATGAAGTCCCTGAAGCTGCCGTAGTTACTGAATCCTTAGTGGAATACAAAGTCTTACTTAATTCACTCTTTAGAAATATTCAGTGACATTGCACAAGGCAAATCATTCAATTTCATCCTATATTTTCACTCTTACAAACTTTTCCTAAGTTCTACACTGAGTGGATGTGGGTGGGTGTGAGTTGGACCTGATAGCTTGTGCTACCAGGTCGGTTGCCGTGTTCCTCCCTTAAGTCAATGTGGACCTGACCTGACTAGGTTGGGTGCATTGGCTTAAGCTGGTAGGAGACTTGGACCTGCCTCGCATGGGCCAGTACGCCTGCTGCAGTGTTCCTTCGTTCTTATGTTCTTATATTCATGGAAATAACTAAACCCATGTTGGTCAGCCTGCAAAATACCCCAAAACACACCAACAATAGCTGATAATAAATAACAGGGTTTAAAGATCAATCTGACGTAGAATACGCCTCCAGGATGCCAAGGCAGCATGATACTCAATTCTAATCTATACAGGAAAGGAGGTAAGGAAAAAATACCATGCTGCAGCTAGTGTAACATATATATGTACCAGAGACCAGGATAAGGTGATAATGTGGCAAAATTATATCCATAATTCCTGTAAGGCTGGATCGAGTTCACTAAGGTTAATTGTGAATCTCATCAGTTAGGCATAAACATATCTAAAATAACCACCAATGGTCAGATACATCCTCTACCAAGTCCAAGGAAAAGCCACAATGAACAGTGGACTAGGCAGAGTACCAAGGAGTAACTGAAGGAGCTTACCATGGGACCTTAGTGATGTCAGATGTGTAAATCTGTCCTTAGAAGAGTAACCAACTTCAGGAGGAGAGACATATATCTGAACAACCATACAGTACTGTACACAATTCATGATGCTGGAACAGCATCATGAATTGTGTACAGTAGATGACTCAGGAATGAGGATCTAAGTAAGAACAAAACTATGTTAATGTATGTTGTCCCAATTAGAGCAGCACAACAGAGGGGAAACAACCAATTTATTTATTTATTTATTATTATTTGGACATGATACATAGTTGTACAAAAGAAATACAGTGGTTGAGTGTACATGCCAAAAGCCCCTTGTATGCAGAGCATTGTGGGCAGGCTTAAAATTAACTTAAGATTAGCTAAGCAATGATATATTCAGTGGTAAAAATTACAGTAAACAAATTACAACATGAAAGTACAAATGGGTATTTCAAATAAGAGGCTTTATAGTTGTACAAATCTGTAGCACATTTGATGAGTTACTGAGCATTCAAGAGAATGGAGTATTCTATTAGGTAATGTAATTACAAAAAAAAACAGTTTGATAAGGTCACAGGTTATACATTTATGAGATACAGTTAATCAGTATTTATTTAGTTGTGGGTAAGAGAAGAGCCATGATGAACAACACTTATGATGCTTAAGTATCACAAAATTGATAACAGAAAAATCTCACCACAGAATGAGCTGTACTGATGTCAGATGTGTGAATGTGTACCTGGATAAGCAACTGACTCCAGAGACCACCCAAAGTACAAAAGTTGCCATGAGAAACCCCTGGACGAGGTTATCTGGAGGTTATTCCGGGGATCAACGCCCCCGCGGCCTGGTCCATGACCAGGCCTCCTGATGGATCAGGGCCTGATCAACCAGGCTGTTACTGCTGGCCGAACACAGTCCAACGTACGAGCCACAGCCCGGCTGATCCAGGCCTAATGCTAAAACAGACAAGGCAAAATGGCAAGATCTTTTAGTACAGAAGGCCTTGAGAATTTTAAGTGTGTATACATGTCTCCAGAAAAGCACCAAACTCTTGACATGCCCAAGATATAGGAGGCAGCCATAAAGAACACCTGGCCTCATACTGAAGCCAAGTAGGAAGGGTAAAATCCCACTAAAAGGAAGGATTTGAAGAAGTTAAATGTTTCAACACATCTCTCACATAGCAACAAATACAAGAAGAAATCCCAAATTCTGAAGACCATTGGTTATGATGTCACCTTAATGATGAAGAATCCAGGATGAATCTAAGACTCTCCTGGTCTTATCTTGGGCAGAGAAAATAGTCCTTAAACACTCCAACAGAGTGTTTGCACTGCACATTTGTCCAACTTATTCCTAAAGCTTCTCAAGGAATTAGTTTCAATAACCCATTTTAGGCAGATCCCAGCAAAACACAATATATATGAGTGTGAAGGATTTGATTTGATTAGGACCTTCCTAATATGGGTTATTAAAGCTAATTCCTCGAGTAGCTTTAGGAATAGGATGGAGAAATACGTGAATTAGAAGAGCTGGACTTGAGGAGGTCCTGCTAAGGCTAGACCAGTAGGCCTACTGCAGTGTTCCTCCATTCTTCTGCTTTTATCAGAGGAGTCCACAAGGAACCTTGTAATGTACTATTAACCTAAAGACTTAGTAACCCAGGATAACCCAATAAAGCCACTTTTATTGGACTGTCTGGCTTATTTCTATCGTGGTCCTGTAATCCTCTTCCCCAGGATGCCCCTCAGGAAGGTTCCTTGATGTTGGTGAGGGGCTCTTGATTTAGAGAATTGGATCTGTGCTCCATTTCCCCGAATTAAGCCTGAATGCCTTCCACATCCCTCCCCCAGGCGCTGTATAATCGTACGGGTTTAGCGCTTCCCCTTTATTATTATAATATAATAATAATTCCCCAGGATGCAACCCACACCATTTAAACTACCAACTGAGCCATAAGCATCCATGGGGAGGTTCTAGATCCAAGGAATTGGCCCTTGTCGTCCCCTTCCTTGGCTCGAACCTGATTGCCTCCCATTCTCCCAGGCCCTGTATGACCCCTACGGGTTTAGTGGTTCCCCTAAGTACATTAATAATAAATTTTGGTTTCGGATCCAGGTTGAACCTTGACTCAAGAACCTTACATCACCTAACTGAAGGGTTATCCTAAGATAATATATAATTTAAGACAGTATAACACATTTCAACACCATTTCTAATTAGCACGAAACTTCTTGATGACAAAATTGGCGATAAATGATAGAATGAGTTAAGTCCAACACCGTAACTTATTTCCATTTTAGGGGGAGACTTTACCTCTTCAAACTCGACAAAGTCAACGTAAGTCTTAAATCCGCCTGGAGGTTTGTTTCTCTTATACGAACTCATCGTTAAAATGTCAGGAAAAAGCTTATGTGGTGATCATTTTCTCTCTTTTTCACTTCTTCCTCACACCAAAACACCCACAGGCTCCACTTGTCCGTATCCTCTATCTGACTTTGTCCTCGGTTTATTTGCTCGGTTTATAGGGTTAGTAAATAAGTAAATTTATTTATGCATACACAAATACGGTTACATAGATTATCATACATAGAAGCATATGTGTAGAGAACCTAAGATAATCATCCCCAAAAAAGCCAGACAGAGTGACTTATTGTCATTGGGTCCTTTAGGCTCAGTCTGTCGATTATATTAAGATTATTAAGGCTACATGTAATCTTTTCACCATCAGACAACAATATTCCAATCCCTAAAATATGAATTAAAAGAAATTCTCAGCATATATACACCGAGAGAAATAAACCTATCTGCGTATATATTCCCTGTCCCGTTATAATATTATCACCTCATATATGTTTTAATTCTATTTCACTAATTATTAAAGTGAGTTACTTATATTTACGACTTAAAAATATTACGCTAGTTTTAATTTTGTTTAATTTATTTATTCAAAAATAACTTAAAGTCAGAGAAACGTATTTGGATAAGTTGCATTCGAAAGTTCAGCTTAGAATTAAAAATTCACAATGCATTACTTTCATTATAATAGTGATATATAATGATATATAAAATAAAAATATTTATATTCACCAGCACTACTATTACAGTAAATACATGTATTACAGTCAGACAGCATTCGTAGCTGACAACACTAATATATTCAGTTTCTTTCTCTCATTTTATTATTTTATTACTTATATTACCTTTATTATTTTCTCGGCACTATTTTATTACCGTTTCATCAATCGCTTGAGTAATTTCCACAGCCCTGGAGTCTCTTTCACATTACCACCGCAATTTTTCCCACGATAGGACGCACAACAGGAAGTCACTATTTGTGATATAAATGACCAAGAAAAACCGACAATCAAAATGGTATACAATACCGACAGGTTGTTAGGTAAGACTGAACTTCTCCAGGCCGAGGGACTGACAACCTCAAATTCTACGACTTTAAGGGTGATGGACTGATTACATCGTCTTCACATCTCTACTGTTCCTGCCTACTTTCTGTATTCGACTGAAGAAGCCTACTGTGTAGGCGGAACGTTTCGGAATAAAGTTGTCTAACTGTTGCATATGTGTCTTACCTAACAAAAACCGACAAGTTGAAGACTGAGACACTTGTGCAACACCTGGGAATCTTTATCGATGAAACGTTTCGCCAGCCAGTGGCTTCTTCAGTCCAATGGATGAGGTGTTTGAGGTAATCAGTCCCTCAGCCTGGAGTCGATGTGTCCAGTCCCTCAGTCTGGAGAAAAGTACTTTTCTTAAGACAAATGGACTGAGGACATTGATTTTATGCTGAGGGACTGATTCCCTCAAACACCTCATCCATTGGACTGAAAAAGCCACTGACTGGCGAAACGTTTCCTCAATAAATATTCCCAAATGTTGCACAAGTGTCTCATTCTTCAAGTCATTATTTGTTTATTAACGTAATTAGGTACTTGTAAATTAGACGTATTGCGGGTTATGGCATTTTATTGTGAAGAAGTTTCGCCCACCAGGGACTTTATGAAATTGATAAAGTCCCAGATGGGCGAAACGTCTTAATAACCCCCATTTTGTGTCTTTTTTACACATTATCTGTATATCTACCATTGTATTACCACATCATTAGGTCACAGACCGGGCCGCGGGGGCGTTGACCCCCGAAACTCTCTCCAGGTCTCCAGGTATACCTAAGTGTGAGGTACCTACTTATTCACAGGATATATACACGAGGTGTATTTCTCTTAGTGTATATATGCTGAGTTGACTTGAATCCCATTTTAGGGATTAAAATGATGCAGAGATTATCATGCAGCCTTGTGTGTGTGATGAATGGTTTGAAAAACAGACAAGTTGAAAATTGAGACACTTATGCAACATATGGGAATCTTTATTCAGGAAACGTTTCGCTATACAGTGGCTTCATCAGTCCAATACAAAGTAGAAAGGAGTAAGACACATGTGCAACATCTGGGTATCTTTATTGTAGACGTTTCGCCATCCAGTGGCTTTATCAATACAAATTCCAGGACATAACTTGAAGACAGTAGAACTATGTACAGAAGATGAGGTAATCAGTCCCTCAACCTAGGAGTAGGTGCGAACAGCACCATAGTCGTGGAGATTCTGAAGCGCCAGGATTCTTTCTTCTGCTTCAGAATCTCCACGACTATGGTGCTGTTCGCACCTACTCCTAGGTTGAGGGACTGATTACCTCATCTTCTGTACATAGTTCTACTGTCTTCAAGTTATGTCCTGGAATTTGTATTGATAAAGCCACTGGATGGCGAAACGTCTACAATAAAGATACCCAGATGTTGCACATGTGTCTTACTCTCATCTTGTCGGTATTATATACCATTCGTACACAACTTGTCAGACACTGCAACATCATGGAATCTTAATTCTGAGGACATGTACATAACTTTCACGACTACGACATCTACTACTACTACTAACCCATCTCTTTGGGAAGGACCTACTTCCACTGGGGAATCCCGCCTACCAGTGAATTTGCCCTCGTCTGCTTCACCTGACGTTACTATATAAGCGCCACATAGGGAATCTTTATTCAGGAAACGTTTCCTGAATAAAGATTCCCATATGTTGCATAAGTGTCTCAATTTTCATCATGCAGCCTTAATGACTTTAGTGTAGTCGATAGGCTTTAAGCACCGATAGTTAGCTATCCTACATAGGGGTGAATTCCTTCTCACAATGGAAGGTTGCAGTCTCAAACCTCTCTCTGGCAAATCACACTGATGAGGTTTCCTTTTGGCATCCCTCTCCTCTTCAATGGAAAAGGGGTTCTTTGATGCTGGTAAAGGGCTCTTGATTCAAATAATTAGAGCTACCGGCCCTTCCTCGAGTTAAAGCTAATAGCTTCCCATACCATACAGGTTTACCGCCTCCCAGAATATGGCTCCAGGCCTCCAGATTCAGTCACTTTTGTGACCCAAAACAAACTTCTTCAGTCATTTTTTTGCGATGCACAACAGGAAGAAGGAAAAGAAGAAGAAGAAGAAGAAGAAGAAGAAGAAGAAGAAGAAGAAGAAGAAGAAGAAGAAGAAGAAGAAGAAGAAGAAGAAGAAGAAGAAGAAGAAGAAGAAAGGCCAGTGTTTTTTTTGTTCTTGGTCTTAGATCCACTTCTCCAAGATGCGACCTATATCAGTCTAGCACCAAGTACCTTCTTACTGCTAGGTAAACAGAAGCAACAGGTGTGAGGAGACTTGCTTCAAGTTTCGACTCTTTGAACACTGAATACAGCTCTGTCGATTGTGAGCCGATGGCTCATACTATTTAGGCCTGAGTTTGACAAGAGAGTGGCAGACTCATACGTAGTTTTATGAATAAGTATGACTGGGCTCCAGCAGCCAGGAGAGAGTGAATGCATGAGCGACGAGAGAGGAGACGGGACCAGAAGGCAAGACTTGACCCTTCAACTACAGATAGTTGAGTGATAGGCCAAAAAAACAGGCACAGTTGGGCATAAATGGAAGTTCAGAACGTAAATGAATCACAGGGACGTAGGGAAATACACTTAGGTTAGGTTAGGTAAGGTTTGTCAGGAAACAGGACAAGTGTTTCCCGACGCGGGTCTTATGATGAACCACAGCTGGAGTTTTTGGTCATCTGACCGAGGCCTTCCACTGGCTTCCCGGTCCACACCTTCAAAAATTAGGGTTTTAAATGGGGAAAAATACTTGCCAAAGGTAAGTCAGATAAAGGATTATGACTGATGAGGAAAAGGTAAGTTTATATAGGCAAAGGTACACATAAGTACAATTATCACACAATGTAAATTACCTAGAATAACCCCCAAAAAAATGTCAGACAAAGTGACGAGACATCGAATTAGTGAAAATGGTCTCACGTAGTTAACCTGTAGGACAGCCAAGAGCTGAAAGTCAATCTCCTCGTCAACAACCAAAGTACAATTAAGATCTGACGAGTCTCTCATAAAGATAAGCCGTTTTCTTTGATTAAAAAAGCTATTAAAAATAAAGGACTAACGATAATAAATAAAATCAAGTTAATAAAGTTAGTTTAATATCATTATTATGCACCCCATACCCATCCTGTGGGCAAAGTAATATGGAAATTTTATGATCCTATGAAATATAATAATTAAATTAGTTATTTTATGCCTCATATATATCTTCAAGCGGTCAATGTGTAATTCACTCCCTTGTGTGTTTTTTTTATGTAAATTCTCTAATATTGTGTCATTTGTGTGCTATGTAATTGATTTATATATGTTTAGTGCTTATTGGAAAAGACCTTTTTTTACTTAGCCTAACCTAATGTTACCTAACTTAACCTAACCGATATTTTTACAGCTGGTCTAGGTTAGGTTAGGTCAGGTTAGGTTAGGTTAGGTTAGGTTAGGTTAGGTTAGGTTAGGTTAGGTTAGGTTAGGTTAGGTTAGGTTAGGTTAGGTTAGGTTAGGTTAGGTTAGATTAGGTTAGGTTAGGTTAGGTTAGGTTAGGTTAGGTTAGGTGTTAGATTGTAGGTTTAGGTTAGGTTAGGTTAGGTTGATTAGGTTAGGATTAGATATTAGGTAGGTTAGGTTAGGTTAGGTTAGGTTAGGTTAGGTTAGATTAGGTTAGGTTAGGTTAGGTTAGGTTAGGTTAGGTTAGGTTAGGTTAGGTCAGGTTAAGGTTAGGTTAGGTTAGGTTAGGTTAGGCCAGGTTAGGTTAGGTTAGATTAGGTTAGGTTAGGTTAGATTAGATTAGGTCAGGTTAGGTTAGGTTAGGTTAGGTTAGGTTAGGTTAGATTAGGTTAGGTTAGGTCAGGCTAGGTTAGGTTAGGTTAGGCAGGTTAGGTTAGGTTATAGGTTAGGTTAGTTAGTTAGATTAGGTCAGGTTAGGTTAGGTTAGGTTAGGTTAGGTTTAGGTTAGATTAGGTTAGGTTAGGTAGGCTTAGGTTAGGTTAGTTAGGTTAGGTTAGGTTAGGTTAGATTAGGTCAGGTTAGGTTAGGT